AACTAAAACTCCTAAATTCTGGTTCCCAAGCAAAAATCAACACTCTTCATAGAGTCTTCTCAAGAAAAGTCAATATTCCTTAGCGGAATTTCTTCTCAACAAAGCAGAAATCCCCAACGGAAGCATTTTTAACAAAATCTGAAGATACACATACTCTTCACCTCCAACATAAGTCTGATATTTAACTTCTCAAAACTCCCCAGTATCTGTCAAGGATACGCTTAGACAACACGTCACATTCATACATTATATAACATAAATAACATATACATACAACATAATCTCATTTATTTTGAGAACATAATTACACCATGCATACATTCGCATACAGCTAACCCCTTTGTTCCTTGCAGAAAAAAATATTGATCAAAAGACCTCTTCTGGATCAGAATTAATTCTTCCAGTTAAAGACAGACAAGATACCTAGTTTTCAGCACGAATCGACCAAAGATTTATGTTGATGTTTCTCCCAGTTTCTACCATCACCTCTCCAAATGGAATCTATAAGCCTATTCCCTAATCAATACATCATCGAGTGCAAATTTCTGGGCACTTTAGTATTCAATCATCTTTCACCTTCAAGCCACGAATGGCGGATCCGCCAATCTAACACTTCAGGTTTAAGAAGATTGAGCAGGGGCAACTGTTGTACCCCAAAATTTACCCTCTCATTTTCTTAATATATTTCTCAAGAGATCTCCAATGCTCAAGGATTCTCATGGAATTGATCAAACAAAATCACCTTCAAAACACTAAGACCACAAATTAGGGTTTTGACCGAAAACGACTGATCACTGACTTTTGACCTAATACATGAATTATTGGTTTGAAACATGATCTCAAGAATTCAAATGCATCATTTTTGACCTATTTGCGTATCTCAAGTCATTTCTCAATATCAGTGGATTGATAGATGAAATTTGGTCAACTGATGAAAAAGTCAACTATACACTTAAAAGTCAAACTTTGACTTTTTGGTCAACATTGAATTTCAAAGATCAAAATTCATCAAGACATTCAAGAATATAAATCTTGATCATCAAGAAGTCAAGAAAGTTAAAAGTCAATTTGAAAAGTCAAACTTTTCAAGACTTAGAAATTTTTCTAAGTGTTTTATACATGATAATTTCACTACTTCATGCCAATTTTTTGCCAAGATGCATGATGATTCAAAGGAAACTTTCAACATGAAAGTTGTAGATCTTGATGAATTCTACAACTTTATATTAGAGGGTTTATGTCTAAAAAACGCTTAGCTTTGAAGATATAAGCCCATAAAATCATGACATTGTCATCTAACACTTAGAGAAATTTGTAACAGATTTTGGTCAGGATTTTATTCCAACTTCTTGACGCTTTTTTGCATAGTTCCAAGATGATTTTGTCAAAATGGCAAACATGAAAGTTATAAAGGATGTTTCAAGCTTTCAAAAACATCCAAGATCATGAATTTATCATACTTGAGCTAGGAGATTCAAGGGCCTGAAGTTGGACATCCATTCTTGATTGCAAGTCATTTTGTTGAATAACAAATAATCCAATTTGCATGATGTGCTGCATAATCTTACTTTGCAGGCCTTGTGATTTGTAAATATATCCATAATCATATGTTTACACAATTGATTGAACCATTATCCAAGTGATTCAAGTATTGTCCATTGCATCATTCCATTTATAGCACAAAGGCACCATTACCATTCACATAAAGCAAGCTTTATACAATTGTCAAATCCTTGAGTATCTCAATTGTTTTCTATGCACATACATAATGTCAAATCAAGAAGAAACATGCCTAAAAGCCTCTAGCAACTTCATACCATGCTTGTACCATGCATTGGAACACCAATTTTTACATAACTTGGTTGTTTCATCTCAACCAAACCAGAATTTTGACAATTTGTAGAACAAACTCTCTCATTCTCTCAAACCTCCTCTATAAATAGAGAGGACATTTGCAATATAAAAGCCTAGAAGTTTTGGTTGTGTAGAAAAGTTCTCAAAATCCCCTCATACTCTCAAAAACCATAATTGTCCATAAAACTTCCACTCTTTAGCTTTGAAGTCCAAATCTTTGAAACTCATACCTTACAAGTTTTCCCCAAGCAAACCATCTAAATAACTCACATATATCATATAGAAGTTGTCCAAACATAAGAATAACTTTTGTAACATCGTTATCATCACCTTCCAAATTCAAAAACGTTGTCTTGCAAGTTGACTTGGTTGGAGAAATTCGAGCACTTTCAATATAAAGTAAGGATTGGAACAACTTCAAAATGATCTGAAGAAGCTCAATCAATCATCACATTGCAGCTGGAAACATCCATACATGTTTTGAGTTTTCACTTAAAGAGGTAAGTTTTCTGAAACTGTGATATCCTTTTTCATACATCATTTTGCTTTCGTTTACAAAAGAATAAAACAGGGAAAATCAAAGTAGAAGCGTTACAAACACTCAAAACTATTGAAAAATGATTTTGGAAGTCTGACACGACTGGACGTGTCACCTGACACAGGCCGTGTCAGGAAGAAAACAGGAAAAATGGCAAGATAGGGCTCTGATGCGGGTGCCCGTGTCATAGGACACAACCCATGTCCCACTTATTGGAATTAAAAATTGACAAAATGGCAGGACAGGGTCCTGACACGGGTGCCCGTGTCACAGGACACTTCTCGTGTCAGCTCAGCTGGGACTAAAAAAGACATGCATATTTATTACAGGGTCCTGACACGGGTGTCCGTGTGAAAGGACACGGCCCGTGTCAGCTTCAACACCAAAAATTCTGATTTTTTAGACTCTTTTGCTATTATTTTCATTCAATTTGATTGTAATAGTAATTAGGTTTTAATTGCTTTCATTTCCCATTCATAAATTTGTATCCCCATCCCCTAAGAGATGTAATAGCGTAGGATATTTACTTTTTGAAATTTATCACTTTTAAATATAAATGCTAGTAATTAGAGTTTGTATGAAAAGATAAAATCAATACTAGAAAACCTTAATCCAAGATAAATCAAGCATGAAATACAAAACACTTGCACACTTGCACCTCTAGGGTTAACTCCACTTTGTTGCCTTAAATAAATGGTCATGATATGCATGTGAGACACAGTTTGTATGCAACTAAGAGTAACAAAGTCCAACGCTTTGTATGCATTCTTATAGAGACGAGAATCATTATAATGTTTGCTTAAACGAATGGGCTTTTCAAAAATACTTTCAAAATCCACCACAAACAAATTTCAAACAAAGCAATTTCAAAATTCATCTAGCAAGCAACTGAAAGCCCATAGGTAACTATGGATGAAAAGGGTGCTAACACCTTCCCTTTTCATAACCTACCCCCGAACTCAAGAAAATTCTCAAAAGGTCTTTTCTGTTCTTTTCACCCTTTCCTTTATTGGATAAAAGAAAAGTCGATGGTGACTCTTGCTATCCCCAACAATTATGATCAAATACAAAACACCCAAGTCAGTTCTCCCACCGTATAACAGCGGGAACACAACCAAAAATTATCATAATGAAGATAATCACGGAAGCTTCAATTAAAAATCCATAACATGATTATTGTGATTTAAAGTGATCATTGAATCAAATAGAACAGGGGATGTTGTCCATAATGTTCTAAGATGAATCAAGAAGAATAAGTTCTTGTCCTTACTACATCAAGATCAAAAAAGCTTTTAGAAGCTTATAAAGAAGAAGACTTCAGTGATTCAAGTGCTTTGGGTTGTTGTCTGTGAAGAAGCTACTTGAAGAAAATGAAGACAAGAATAATACAAGATGTTTCACTTAAACTTAGATCATATTCATCTTTGTAGAATCATGTAAACACAAGAGTTGTTTCTCATATTGTGTTATATCTTTAGTTTTTCATGTAAATTGTTTGTACACAAGAGTTGTTGCTCATAATTGTGTCAAATAACTAAGACTTAATCATTTGTGTAATATGCTTAGAAAGAAGCAATCATGTAAACACAAACATTATCAACTTAATTTTGATGGTTTCTTGGGAGACTCGGTTGAGTCAAGATTCTCAAGAAGACTTTGGCTGCGGTCATCGTAGATGAAATCCTGTTAAGAAAGACTAGGTTGGTCAGATTTCTTAAGGGGTCTTTGATTGTTATATCTCGTGGAGATCACTGAACATATCATTGTATTGTTACTTGAGAGACTCGATTTAGTCAGGATTCTCAAGAAGGCATAGACCGCGGTCTTTGTAGAATTGGCAATAAGGATCAGATGAACTTGTTGGGATTGTCAACAAGGTTGATCGGACTTATTGTTGTCATTTGTAATCAAATTTGGTTATATAGGATTAAGTCCTTGATTTTAAGGAAAAATCACCTTGGTAGGGTGGACTGGACTAGATTGACGGTTTCTCAAGTGAACCAGGATATATCACGTGTTCCTTGCTTCTGCTTATGCTTAATTGTTTATGCTTCTATAATACATTCAAAAGCATCACTCAACACAACAATGTTAAGAATTGAAATTTTGTTAAGAAAGGAAAACCCAATTCAAACCCCACTTTCTTGCATTTTCTTCACACCTTCAGGTGACAAACCCGAAATGTTCAACTTAAATGTGTTTCCTTTGGATGCCCTCCTCAATTCAGCTACATATGACAATAGCATACTATATTGCTTGGCTGAGTCCCTTTCAACAACCTTTCTAGCTAATTGCCTTGCTTTGAAAGTCCTACATCCAATCATTTCTATAGCAAACCTCAATCTTACATTTTTTATAACTTAATTCAATTTCATACTTGAATTGTTCTTCAACTTGTCAACAATCACTCTAGATACCCAATCAGCATTAACATTCATGTTGAAGAACTTTCTTCCATATTTGTGCTTCTGAAATAGAGTTTTGATCCTGAATGATGTTGTTCTCAAAACCCTGTTGCATAAAATTGTGTAATCACATTGTTGTTTGTCCTTACAAACAACCCTACACCTTGTCTCATCATTTTTGGCAAACCTAACCTTCCTACCATTCAACACATTATGTGTTCTAGTACAACATTTTTAAATTGCTTCAGAGAAGAAAATTCCATTCCCACCTTGAATTTAAATTCTTTTCTAAGGTTTTCATCTTCATTAAACCTTATTACTGAGGGCCTACCATCATCACTATCATCATATACCCCACTATCAAGCTCACTTGTGATGCAATCATCATCAATTACATATTCCATATCCATCTCAGTTGCAATCATCCCTTTATGTATCCCTTGACAATTATCCATTTGACCTGTATCATCAACATTATCCATTTGACCTGTACCATCACCATTATGCACTCCACCTATACAAGCACTGTTATCCACTCCATTGTTTAACCCTTCACCTATGCCTTTATCAAAATCATGCATCCTCTCCTCTTTATTATCTTTAAAGTGTATACTATCCAAAGAGTCTTCAGATGATTCACTGTCCTCGCCATCTTCATTTTCCTCAACATTACCATGGCCTTTTTCTTTCTCTTTTGACCTCTCCATATAAGTCTTCTCACCACTAGAAAATCTCGCCTCTGTATATATCTCAACATCACACTTAATCTCCTCAGCACACATGGCTAACATTGTTGCATCATCATCATTAACAAGGGGCTTTAGATCATTTTCAAGTGAGCCATATTCATACTTCCACCACATTTTCACATATTCAATTTTAAACGATGAATCCATACCCTTAATTAAGTCACATGCTTCAAAGTATGACCCAAAATCAGGATCTTTCCCACATACAACATAAATATTCCCCCTTCATATCTTAACCCTTCATCCTTTACAAATGATCCTTTGGTATAAAAAAACAACTTTAAATAACCCTATTTCCTACACATTTCAAGAAAAAACAAGGGTAAATCAGACATTACCGTGGGACTTACCTAATCATTGTTGGGACCGCAACAACCAGCTCAAGATTCGTCACTATTGGGGCCACAAGCAAGGAGATACACGAATGCTTTTATTTGGAGAGAGGGACCACTATCGAAGGTGAACTAGGGCTTCTGAAGGAATCAGGATTGTGAAACACAGAGAGTTTTGAAACATGAGAAATGTCACCTAAGTTAATGAATTCTATCTCAGTAAAAAAAAAAATTTATTTAATCAACCTGTCTTGCCACATAAGCCGCCGTTAGTGGAATTTGACGTTAGAGACTAATTATTCAGACGAAAATTTTTGAAGAGATCAATTCTTAAAGGAAAAAATTAAAGTGACAAAAAATGAAGTTTAAAATATTTAAAGGAACAAAAAAACTTATTTAACCCTAATAAAAATAAACTCTTTAATTTAAAGAAGCAGCCTCTTATTTATAGAAAACTACAACGACTACTTGTTGTGTTGCATGAATGACATGTGCTTAGACTAAGAACTACTTATCTTAACTAATTTTAATCTTCTCTTGTACATTTCAGGTAGTTACATGAATGGAGATTTGTCTATCCTTGGAATTTCAATCCATGTTGGTCTTTTTTGAGCCAGATATCTTCAACTCTAGAAGGTTTACTCTTCGAACATGCGCACAAAACTAAATTGTAATTCCTTCTCAAACAATATTTTTCAAAGACCTTTCGAAAATCTGATTCAGTTCACTTCATTGAACTTGAAACTACAGATTTATATTTTTTGTATATAACATAACTTTTATATTGTAGAAGAGACCCCACAAATTTGATATGTTTAATAAGATTATGAAGCCTATATTTCATCATCTTTAATTCTAATGTAGATATCATCTTTTTTAATAGAAAATTTCAACAATAATTATGCAACAATAAGAAATAAAATATCATTGAACATTACAACAAAAAAGAAAACCAGGTCAATTGAGTAGGTATCTATCTATCTACCCAACAACTATTGAGGACCACAAACACAAAGGAAAAATTCAAAGTTCATTGACTCTATCTCTGCATCTCCTATGATTCCTTTTATGGTCTTAATCAAGTGCTTTAACACCAAAGCTCAGCCTTTTTCACCTTTGAAATGCTATCAACAACTTCCACCGGAGAAATGTTCCCCATCACTGTCACCCTCTTAGACTCTACATCTATACTGAATGATGTAACTCCTGTTTCATTTCTCAAATATTAATCAATGCTATATATACGTTAATAGTAATAATGGATTTTCAATAAATATATATATACCTTCCATCTTAGAGATATGTTTCTTCACTTTTCCAGCACATCCTTGACAGTGAATCGCAACCCTCATCACAACCACCTGCACTCACATGCAATCTTAAATATTTTTAGAATAATTGATGCATTGGAATTGTAAATGAATAATTATTTTGAGAGAAAGAAAAAGTACAAATGAGACACTTATTATGAGACGGAGGAAATATTACATATAGATGTCGCTGCAATCAGATGTCTCTGCAACTACTACTGGTTATGACATTATGTGTGGGTTAAGAGACAAAAACCAAGTGGCTTAGTCTTTATTAATATTATGTTTCTCTACAGAATATGCATGAGACATTGTCAAGCAATATTCACGTGAAATTTTGGAATTTTTACAAATGACAAATATAAACAGCAAAAATAATGGAGATAATAATATGTTTCCTTGCAGAATCCACATGACACTAATTGATGTGGTACATTCCTAGGTAAACTTGTGTCAATTCAAGAGTTATAATGGAATAATAGTCTAGTAAATTTGTTTTAACCGCATAACAACTGTAACAACCGAAATCGCGAAAGCCTCTATGCAGCCGCAACGTGACCGCAACTGTTTTTTAAAACCTGGGTAATATATAGGTTCGTAGTAATAACTGCAACCGTGACTTAAAACCATGTTACATACTTAGTGAAATAGAAAATGTGAACTTAACAAACCTGAAAAACATTATCTGTTGGTGTTTTCTGAAGTTCTCTTGGTTCAATAGCTTGATAATTTTGTTTCTTCACTGAGTTCTCTCTAAGCATGATCTTTGGAACAGGATTGGGGATAGGAGATTCAACAAGTTTGGAATATTTGGCAAAGTTGATGATTCTTGTATCTTCAAGAGTAACACTCTTTTCAATCCTCTTAGGTACAACAACAGAACGAGGATCACGAGTGTTCATACACACTGCTGTTGAGGATTGAGAATGGCACATAAAACCTCTTCTCATTTTCTTGTTGCTTGTTTTCAAACTCATCATAAGTTTTTTTTTCTAATACACACTTCACAAATGAAGAGCTTTTAAAGGGGAAAGTATATGAAAAGGTGCATAAAAAGTGCAAGGTTTGTAAACAAGAAAAAGGGTAGTGTGAGAGAATGAGAGAAAGTGACAATAGAATAGAAGAGAAGAGAGATCAATGCTGAAATATCTAACTATAGGTTATTGCTGTTGTAAAAATGGTTTTGTCATTTTGTCTATTAAAATTTATGCATAGAGTGTGATATAAAAAGTGTCCATAATCTTGTCATTTTCAATGGTTAATGCTTAGCAATTGACATATATTTTTTTTTATATGAATAAAATGGAAATGTGATAGAGAAGCATAGTGAGTGATGCATGAGGATGAAAAATTATAATTTAACAACTAAGTAATATTTATCTATAATAACAAAAAAACAAAAAACAATTTGTTGAAGTTTAGTAATGTCATATTCTAGCCAGCTCACATTATTTCTCCTATCTAGGGGGTATCACTGTAGTAATATAAATACAAACAAGAACCTGATATGTATCCAGCACACTAACAGAGAAACCTCAGGAAGCTAATATTACCTCATTTGTGGATCTAGTACTTTTACTTGCATTGAACAAAAGAGGTACAGTGTTCATTAACCAAGACCAAGGGATTTTGGATAAAGTGATAAAAAAAACTGAAAATTTGTTGGATGAGAATTAATGATGAAAGGAGGATATACTGACACACAGAAATGTCATGTTTCAAAGGTTGAGTCCCTCATATGACACTGATGCTAACAACCAATGATTTTCTTCACATGTTTAAGTACGCATCAATTGACCTTATTTATTACTTGTTCCAATTCTTTTGAGTTACTTTATTACATCTCTGAATTTTAATATACCTCATGTAAACGGATATGTGCGTCCGTTTAGACTCGTTCTGTAAAAATCTAAAAGAGCGGAGTAGAACGGAGGGGAGTGGTTATAGTTGAGGGAATTTAGATCATTTGTTGCTAGGCAGCACTCCTGCTCCAATTTTGTGTGTGGAGAGAGAAAAATTGAAAATAAAAATAGATGTAATAAAAATGAGAGAGAGAAAAATGATGAGAGAGATAGACACAAAAAGAGAGCATTAGAGAGGTCTATAGAAGAAAGGCTAGAGCTTGCTTAGCGAGAGCATTAGAGAGATGGATTTTGAAAACATTCTTCCAAACTTCGATTGGAGTTTGCTAGAACTTGCTTAGCGAAGTAGCCATATTTTGAATTGTGAAAACATTCTTGACTTCGCTTGGAGTTTGTTGGGGGCTTCGCTTAGTGAACTTTCGCTTTGCTCTCGCTATGTCTCGTTTATCGTACTTTGAGAATGCCTTCACAAGCTTTGCTTTCAATCCTTTATTTAAGTGCCACAATCTGCACAAATACAAGCAAAACAATAGTAAAAATGCACCAACTCAATTCTATTAAGTAATTGAGATTTTCATGTTATAAACTTACAAGCCAAGTAAGATAAATGTCTTTTGCAATATGATAAATTATCATATCTTTGACACTTATCAAACTCTCCCCAACTTGAATATTTATTTATCCTCAAATCAAAGTCTTTAAAAGCTTAATTAAATGCAAGAGTTTCTAATTTTCTATACCATATTTTTACAAGATTTCAACCAAATTTTTAAGAAAAATAATCAAGGTGCATGGTTCAATTTCAAACTGCACATCTAAGTTGTTATGCTCATCACTTTTCTAAGATCAAAACATAATAATGAACCAATTTTTCAACACAAAATTCATGTCAAACAATCTCAAGCAATAAACATGTCAATCTTGAATCACACCTATCACACTTTTTGTATAAGTGAAAATTATGTGGTATTTGAACTCTCGTCTGATAATCTTGTTAACATCTAAATCAAATCATACATTCATCTAAACAAATCATTTTGATATGCAGAAACATTGATCACTAAAGTCTTTACATGGTTGTAATGTGGCCTAGGTACTAAGGAAGATTCGTTTCTATAGATCATAGAAACAAAATGATTTTTAACTATTTTATATGAACATTCACAAGATTTGATATTTTTCAACATGTTACTCATAAAAAAAAAACTTATATTACCTTCATTGAACACATTTTTATATTCACTTTCTTTCTTCATTCACCTTTTTCCTTTTTCATTTATCATCTTTCTTTTTCTTTCATCATTATTTTATTTTATTTATTTCATCTTTCTATTTTTCTGTTTTTGAAAAAAGACTTTTCCTTTTTTTCCCCAACTTGAACAAAGTCTTACTCTTACTTCAAATGCTCTTCAATCACTGGCAAAGAATATCAATCTAATTTCAAGGTTTAATTAAAGAAAACATTTAGAATCTATCATGGATGAATTTTATGGTTTTGAATAAAAGAGAACACATTTACTAAGTGGTTTACTTAGTGAATTATTCAGTTCATAGATGATATTCATGCCATTTGACTCAAAAGGTGTTTTCAAATTCTCATTCACTCACAAGGGAAAGTAAGGTTGTATTTGGTTTGATGGTTGTGCTCAAATTTAAAGAAGTGCCTTGATCCTTTCTATGTTTCCACAAATATCAAAATGAATGCAAGATTAAACATGAATCTAACGAGTTAAAATAATAATTATCAGTCTCATGAGCATATGATAAACAATGGAAAACTACCTCACTTTTAATGATCGTTCTAAAGTGATTCATGTATGATACATGTTATTTCAAAAGAGTGTTTGAAATAATTTATGTAGATCACCAATTTCACATTCATGCTAAATCCCTAGAAATCAATAAACATTTACCATTGCACATGTTTGTCGATTTATGTAAACTTGGTCGATCCATTATTTGCCTTTTCAACTCAATTTAGAAGACACAAGTTTAAACATGGATTAGACATAAGACATTTCCAAAACTTACTACTATTTAAAAACATATAAAATACTTAAGGGAAGTAAATGGCCTGAAATTTTTTTGTTGATTTTGCTACTTTGGATTATTGAACTTTGAACAAAAATTATTGCTTAGCGAGAAAGAGTTCGCTCGGTGAAATTAACAGAATGTTGTTTTCTACAGAATTCCTTTGTGTATCTTTCATGTCATTTCCATCTCACTTGTTGGAACCTATCATGCAAAGAAAAACTTTTAAATATTTAAAAGTTTGGGTTGTCTTCCAACAAGCGCTTGTTTAATGTCATCAACTCGACGTCTATTTTGATTGAAATCAAGGTGGTTCTCTTGTGATGATCCATTCACTTTCCTCGCCAAGATGTGGCTCTGTTTTATTCTTCACCCTTTTTAAATTCATGCTTGCTTCATCAGTATCATCTGTTTTGAAATACACTTCTTTGTCTTTCAAATATTGCATTTCTTGAAACAAGTTGAAGTTTACCTCTTCATTTTGGACCCTAACTTTCATCACTTCTTCATCAATATCAAACATCATTCTGTTTGTTTTCATGAAGGTGCGACCTAAAATTAGAGGAACATCTTCATCTTCTTCTATGTCCATCATAACAAAATCTATCAGGAATAGAAAATTTTCAACTTTAACCAAGACAACTTCCACTATTTCAGACAGTTGTGTGATAGATTTGTCTGCTATCTGTAAAGTCATCTTTGTAGGCTTCAAATCAAGATCACTTATCCTCCTAACGACAGATAACGGTTAAATTTTGATACTTGACCCTATATTAATAAAAACTTTATCAAAGTTGACATTTTCTATGGTAACCGGTAATATAACTCTCCCTGGATCTTCTTCTTTTTTAGGGAGGTTTCACTAAATAATTGCACTACAACTGGCATCCAGATGAATTGTTTCTTCATCTTTGATTGTCTTCTTCTTTGTTAGAATCTCTTTCATAAAATTTACGTATGTAGGTATATGTTTTAAAGCTTTAAGAAATGGAATATTGATTTGTAACCGTTTGAAAATATCAAAGAACCTACCATACTGCCTGTAACACGGTGGAAGCACTGACTTGGTTGTTTTACGTTTGATCGCAAATGTTGCGGTTAGCAAGAGTCTCCACCGACTTTTCTTTTATCCAAAAGGAAAGGTTGAAAAGAATAGGAAAGACCTTTGAGGTGTTTTCTTGAGTTCGGGGTGTAGATTATGAAAATGGAAGGTATTAGCACCCTTTTCATCTGTAGTTATCTATGGGCTCTTAGTTGCTTGCTAAATCACTTGTTTTTGTTTGAAAATATACTTTGTGTGGTTTTGAAAGTTTTTTGAAAATGTCTTTGTAATGGTTCTCGTTTCTATAAGAACGCGTACAAAGTGTTGTTTTGAAAATAGTTCAAAGAGGTGTTTGTGGAATGTGTTTTTGAAAGTGATTTTGAAAATGTGTCTTTATAATGGTTCTCGTTTATATAAGAACGCGTACAAAGTGTTTATCTTTTGAAAATGTTTCAAGTTTGTAAGATGTTTTGAAAGTGTTGGTGTTTGCTTTTGAAAATAGCAAGGATGTTTTGGTTTGAAAATGAGCAAGCAACTAGGAACATTCTACCTACTCAAAAGTCTTTCTTGTTTATTTCATCTTTCCTTTGACATTGTTATCTTACCATTGATTTGGTAAATAACCTTATCTTTGGGTGTAAAAGGGACGGGCAAGGTCATCGTATAGTCATGATTAGCAATGTTGTAAGATATCTTAGCATTTTCTTTAAGGACTAAGATCATTTTTTAAAGGAAACTTTGATAGAGTCATCGAGAGACTATGATCTTGTATTTTTTATTTGTTTTTGCTAAGATACCTCACATGTATAATATGGCCATTTTCATAAGGCAACAAAGTGGATTTACCCTAAGGGTGTAAGTGTGCAAGTGTATTGATTTACATGCATTATTTTGTCTTTGAATTAGGGTTTTCTAAGCATTGATTTTATCTTTCCATACAAATCCTAACTTACTAGCATTTGTATATAAAGCATTAAATTGAGCAAAATAAAAATACTAAGCTATTACATCATTAGGGGAGGGGGTGTGCGAATTTACAAATGGG